AAAATAAATTGCGGAAAAAATTTTTCTCATCTCAAACCCTCTTTTAGATTCTTTCTGCAGTGCCCCCCCCCCCCAGAAATTGAGAGCCAGCTACGGGCTTGGTACCACATACGTACTTCTATAGCGCAATGACAGTGTCGATTTAATTTGTGCCATTTCTCTTTTTACTAAATCTAAATTATTCAAATCTCCTTTTCTCGGCCTGCCAATTACCATTAGGCATTAAGGCCGAAAGCGCATACTTGCCTTTGGAAAATACGTTTTATGCACGTGCTTATATCTACTCATGGGCATTATGCAACAACCAAATATCTTCCCGTCCATATCATTGAATGCACCTCTATTGACTATTTCCTCTTTCAAATACAATCATTGGGACCGCTGCTGTATTCTCACTACCTTTCCAAGCTTGAATCTATACCTTTCACGACAATAGAATATAATGCGCTCTGATCTGGAAAGACTTGATGATCCAAGCATGGGCGTACCGGAAGGAAAAATTTAGGGGGGCGGAAAAAAAATTGCCCGACTTTTCGTGATTGTGCCCGACTAGTACCTAAAAATTTTTTCCGGAAATATTATTTTGGCGACCTCCCCCCCCCCCAAAATTTTTCGTAACATCGCACCAATTTTCCAAAAAAATACATTTCCCACAAAATTTACAAAATTTACAATATTGCCCGACTGGGCTACCGCCCCCCCCCCGCCCCCCCCGCCCGGTACGCCTATGGATCCAAGTGTTGTTCCTACAGGCTACAATCCAACTTGATGTCCAGTTATACTTAGTATAGTTTAATAGTTATGAGTTATCTTCATTCACATTTCACGTTAATATTTGTTCAAATATATCTGTGTAAATGGTCGTTTTTGTTTCTAAATATGCGTTATAATTATTTAATATTGTTGTCTTTCTTTGTGTTGACTGTTGGTCTTAACTATGTGGGATCTTGTCCTGTTGACCATACCTTCAACCTTGCTTGTCCTTCATCTATGTATGTTCCTAAATTTAAAATCTATTTGTTCATGTATATGAAAGGTTGTAAAGTTAATAAATATATGAATAAATAAAATGAAGAAATTAATCTCTTGAACATGCATGCGTGAGTTCTGTGGAAATAAATACCCGAATAATGAAATTTATCGAGATTTTATTATTTTTACTTACTAACTGAAAAATATGGTCATACAGTGGACTTTAAACAGTATAAATTTATGAATCACAAATATGCCATTACACTGCCGACTATAGCATTTCCACTGAAAGGCATAAAGTGCATTTCCTAGCTGCTGAATGTCACGTGCGCAATGATAACCGGCGTACAGTATATATATAAGGCATGCATGTATGCAAGTGCATGTCTTATACATTGCAACACACCAGACACATATATAGGCCTATATTGAGAAGCCACGGCACAGGCCAATAGTATATATAGCACATATTCCAGACCTTTATCCAGCTGACATATAGGAAGTATTCTGAATTTAATTGAATTAATCATCTTAGGTGATATAAGGATAAACTATAATTATTGATGTAATCTCGGGATTAACATTTGTATAAACAACTAAATAAGTAATTTCACGTGAGAGTCACAACGGTAATAAATAACATTACAAAGATTAGGTAATATTAGTTCTTAATAGTATAAAAGCACTGGTCAAATATTAAGATTTTTCGGCATCTCACTCGAGAGAACTAACAGTTGCATGAGTTTTGTAGCCGAATTAGTCTAGGACCTGTATATGAGTTTGTATGCGATTCATTTAGGACAGGTAATCTCAACTGTTTTAGCCTGGTAAAATGACCATGGCGGTCAACATGGCATATGTGCCAAAACCTGAATCCGGGGCGAAAGTCCTGAAAATGACCCCGCCCTGAAACGGCAGTGTATCATAGGATGAAAAACTATGCTTAGTTCAATATAATTATTACTTGTTTACTGAGACCGAGGGAACAGTGTGTTTTCAGTGTGGACCCGAGACCGTCGATCGCCTCCGGAAACATCGACGGTCGAGGGTCCACAAAACACACTTCTTTCCCGAGGTCTCAGTAAATAAGTGTTTTATTATATATCAATAGTCAAAGAAACAACAAATTAAAGAACAAATGAACGTAAATACATGAAATATTTTATTGTTAAAACGTTATATTAAACACTGGCTACACTGCAGTTACTTAAAGCGAAAGTTTTAATTACGTACTAGGCATGTCCAAAGGTCGCATCTTCACGTGATGGCGCACGTGATTTTTTTTGTTATTCGCCGGTCGATAACGTATTATCTCCCTCTCGCGCTGTTGCGAGGGAGACAGCCTAATTTCGTCACTCTCACGTGATATGCTCTCAACCAATAAAACACTAGAAAAATGCAACTTTGACTATTGATATATAATAATACATTTTATTTCACTTACACCCCACGATTTCAGCCATATTTTGCCGTCTTGTTTGCTTTTTATCGCCGAGTCTCGCAAATATGATCCTGTTGTTGTACTTTTACATAATCATAAATGGCTAAAGAATATTTCAACCAAGTTTCATCAAGTTGTGAGACAGTGCAGTGTATTTTATCTTCGATATTGTGTCCTTCTAGCCTCCTCCGCAGGCCTCTCTATGGGTTCTAGCCTGCGAATGGGTTTGAAAAAAAAATTTTCTGGGAGAGAGGCCTGCCATAAATCGAACAAAATGGACGTGTTAATGTACCTTGTGGCCGTGTCAATGTACCCCACCCCCTAAGTAGGCTTTTGACCCTAATTATATATTCAGTTTGAAATCTTCAGGCGAGGAGCGAAGCTTGCGAGTATTACTTTAAAAATGTTTTATAATGCATCGAAATATTCAAGTTATACTAAAATTAATTGGTCAATTGAAAGGATTATATATC